AAAAAAATTTATTTATATTTGTATATCTCAGGAAGGCAATAAGTTTATTTTGTAAATTTTATAACCCTCGGCAAATAGAGACATGATTACAGTGCTTCATAAAAAATAAAAAAAAATAATGTTGTTCACGTTCAAAATTAAGACATGCGTTTTATTGTCTTATGATAATTACTTGTACATAATTACTCAACATTTATCTTTCACTTCATTCAGTAATCTCATTAACCAACTTGTTCTTCTGCTTACAGTGGAAGAAGGACGCCAATCAAAAAATACATTGGCTACTATACGAGAACTCATTGCGAAAGAAGGATCGTATGTATACATTACATATATACCTCAAATATGTATTTTCTCAAAGCGAGTCCTATACATGTCTTGAACAAATGAATGAAACGCGTCACACAAACTACGACAAATATATTCAGAAACCAGTTTCTCCTTGGTTCACAGATTCTAGCATAAATAAATACAAGGAATTACTCATGATATAATAACGCAGGTGTTGTAATATTCTTGTAAATGCGCAGAATGAATTTGGGCTCAAATTTGATTGATTGTTTTCAATATATTGTTATTGCGCAATGTTACATCTGTTTTCTTAGATCATGAAATTATTCCTTTTGCGTCATATTTTTAAAACACTCAATAAAACATAACTCAATTATCTTCATTTATCTTTTTAAGATATACCCTGTACAGAGGTATCGTCCCTGTTCTGCAAAGCTTATGTGCCAGTAACTTTGTTTATTTCTACACATTCCACGGCTTAAAAGAACTGAGAAGCAAAAGGAATCAAACAGCTGGTAGTGACTTGCTTCTCGCGTCAATTGCTGGTACGGTGACTTGTTTCTCGTCAACAGAATCTATGTTTCGCGTAGTAAGATTCGATTTCTCTTTGCAAATAATCAGAGCACTGCAAGTTATTTAATTACAAATGAAAAACGTAGAAAATAACCAAAAAATAAGCAGTATTTAAAGACATATACGTTTAAATTTAAACATATATTTTATTTTAAAAGGATTTTAATCGGAGATTTAATTATAAAGATAAATAATCATTTTTATGACATTAAAAGAAATATATTAGATTATGCAGGAAAATTGATAAGAGAAAAATAAGCAATACTCAGATAAACTTTCCTACAAGAAAATATACACTGTAAAAAATAAAATGTCAATTTTAACTTAGACGTATAGTAGACTTTCTGAGACATGCAAAAATCTGAGACATGTTAAAATTAACATTTTTGTATTAAGTTTAACATTTTTGCATGTCTCAGAAATTCTACGTCTTTAAGTTAACGTTTTTATGTTTTACAATGTAATCTTCGATTTTAACGGAAGAATTTTGCTATGTGTAACTTTGATGAAAAATCTTGGGACATTATATACTTATGTATATGTTTATATTAGGTGTTATTAATGTCCTCATCACGACACCTCTATGGGTTGTAAACACGAGATTGAAGATGAGAGGCGTTGGATTAACTCTAGAAAGAAATAACAACGAATATGCTACTCTGTATGGTACGTTAGCATTCCATATAAAAATTATATTCGCGAGTATTTATTTAGATAGTCGATATTGATTATCTAAATGACTCTTATTTTTAAATATTTTTATATTTTCAATACTAGTAATTCCAATCACGCTTTGTTTAAAAATCGAACAATACATATCATATATAATAATATTAATGCAGTACAAATAAATCCTTTATTTAATGCACTGTGTATGTCAACAAACATAATACGAAAATACGTTTCATATGTCGCTCATTTGCTTCATTACTTGAAACAATTATGATATTCAATAAGCGTGACACTTTGCTATCACGAACAAATAAATCTCATAGAGATTATGATAAATTAGAAATTCGTAATTGAATGTATTATTAATGAGATAATTAAAGAAATCATTTTTTTTCTTCAAAATTATCTCTCACTATCACAAAAACTTTACTTATTAATATGCTGACTATTTATTATTTAAAGATATTTTTACATTAATTAACATATACATATATGTTAATTAAAATAAAAATAGCCTCGAACGATAAATGCACAGAAAAAAAGACTTCTTTGGATTTAATAAATTTTATTATATCCAAATAAATTTGTTATTTGGAGTGGTCCAAACAAACCAATGTTTAAAATAAGTGCGATTGTTTGAAATTGAAACAATGTATATTTTTGTTTTAAATACATTATTTGTTTGAACAGATGTTTATCTTCGGCGTTTATCTGTTCGCATGATCAAACTGTACGGCACAAACATATTTGATATAGCACATGACACTGCTCGTTTAATCCTGTTGTTGGACGTATAAATAATTGTTTTCATATTTCCAGCCAAAAAATGTAATGATTGTTTTGAAGAAAGTAATTGTTTGCATGGAACAATCTTTATCAATATATTTTGCCATTTTCAAATAAATAATTTGTCTCATTGTTTGTATTCATTGTAACTAAATAATATATTATTTAATTACATTGAAAGATATTACTTCAAATCATAATGTTATTTCTGTCAAGCAATAGAGGTTTCTCGAATGAAACAACAAAATTTTTATTTAAATAAATAATATTTCGCACAAGCATATGTTATTTCAATGAAACAAATTTTAGTCAAATAAATAGAAATACTAAATTCAAAGAAAAATTTTTCTTTCTTCTTTGTGTGATCAGCATATTTGAATAATTATAAGTAGATATAAATATATCATTAGAGACGAAAAACTTTCTAAAGTTTTTAATAACTTTTAGTTATGAGAAAGTAATTATTCATCATAATTCTTCATAATTCTTTGAATAGACAAATTAAATTATGAAAATTAATAACGTCTAATTAAACTTTCTATATTTATAAGTATTAGGTTGTTTCTTTCTAATGTCATTACGTTTTACAGATGGTCTCGTGCACATATGGAAGTACGAAGGTTTGAGGCAGCTATGGGCGGGAACGTGGCCGAGTCTTATGCTTGTTACGAATCCGGCCATCCAATTTATGACATATGAGAGCATTAAGAGAAGAGTTATCGCGTCTTTTGGCAGTGGTCAACCACCGGCATGGGCTTTCTTCATTATAGGAGCGATAGCGAAAGCGGTTGCCACGGCGATGACATATCCTTTACAACTTGTGCAAACGAAGTTGAGGGTATCGTATATTATTGACATTCTTAATTTGGTTGAGAAAAAATAAATTTAAGAAAAAGTATTTTTTAATCACTAAACTATTGTAATTTCAGCATGGCTATAAATATCCTAATCTACCCCCAGATGCAGGCACGTTGCAAATATTATTTTACATTCTGAAGTAAGTATATAAAAAAATACTACATGAATATGTAATATACCTATTTTACATTTTAGCTTTGCAATTTGTAAAGGTGCAATTTTATGCAGCGAAAGAAAGCTGGCTTTTTATCCCCATTTCAGTGTTATATTAATGTGAGTATTTTTTGCTCGTAGGAAACAAGGAATAAGTGGCTTATATAAAGGCATGGAGGCCAAACTTTTGCAGACTATTCTCACTGCCGCTTTAATGTTTCTAGCTTACGAGAAAATTGCACGATTTGTTTTCCGAGTACTTTTGCATAAACCTCATCTCAGATAACGATTCGTTCCTAATATTACGAAACAACCTCGAATCTCGAATCTTAAATCAAATTTTGTACTTTCCCGTATTTATCTTCTTTGTATAACTTTATGGATAAATATAATAAAATGGTATGGTATTGAATTTATATAACATATATATCATAAAATGTAATCAAATATTTCGATTTTCGATAATCGAATTGACGTTATTGAAATGCGCATAACTTTATACCGAGTCCGACGATAACGTGTAAAAAGAAAATGGTTAATTGGGTAATAGAATTTGCAGAAGTATCTAAGAAAAATGTGACCATATTTGCATAAGATACTGGCGAGTTCACGAAAATCGCAGCATCGCTTTCGGTCGCAATTTCGGTACAAATTGAATGACTTGGTGTCGCCGCTTTTGCAAACGCGTAAAGAAAATACGGGACAGCAAGATGAAGACTCGAAATACGTAAATGTCACGGCGTGTTGCGAACACTCGCGCAAGATTGATCGCAAGCGATCTGAGGCGATATTAAAATTTCTGACTAAACTTAAAATAGTCAAGTCATCGAAGAGTCAGGTGCAATATAACGATTGCAAGTCTGCGACTTCCAAGTAAGTATTTGTTGTGCAAATAAAATATAATGCATGTGCATTTTCATTATGGAAAATAGAAACATAAGCAGAATACATAAATATCCTTACGTTCCTTTGTGAATGAGATGTTAATAACATTCTTTAAATATGAGAATATTTCTATAAGTGAGTTAAAAACATTTAAATTTAAGTAAAAAAAGGTATTGTTTAATTATAAAATTGTTGTAATAAATATTTCATACATTTCCGATACTTCCAATGTATTCTAATTTGTCATATTATTAGCTCGTTTTTAATATTCATTAAATTTATTGAAAAAGTACGTAGGTAGATAAAAGATAATTATATATAATAGTTTATTATATATAATAAATTATATATAATAATAAATAATTATATATAATAAAAATAATAATAATAATTAATTAATAATAAAGATTGATTTTATAGTTGTAGCATTAGTCATGCTGGAGATACGATGAATCCATCATTGCGTCGCAATACGCGTGAAAATGTAGTCAATAAAGAATCGATTGGCTCAACGATTACTGTAAAAAATAAATCAGAACCGAAATCCCCTGTTATAGCCTATGATTACGAGGCAGCTATCAGTCAGCCTGACATTCCTATATGTTCAAATATTGATAACACACTGAACCCAAGTTGGTCAGAGCAAAGTGACGAATTGTCAGCACCGACTAAGAAAAGAAAGTTTTATGTTCGTGGAAAAATTGGTTTAACTACTAAAAAGAAAGGAATTGTTTTTAAACCGAAGATAAAAGCAAAAAAGGTTACAAAATCTCGTCCGTCAATTTGCGACGTTACTCAGATTAAAAAAGAATTGATACCTCCCTCAAAAATTATTCGAAACGTTGAAAATTATAAACAGGAAAATAACGACGACGGAGTTATTCCGAATTGCCAAATGCTACTTAACCAAGTTTGTTTTCATATAATCTTTCTACTTTAAATTTACTGACATTATAATTAATTTGTGTAATATTCCTAAAAGAATTTGGTGCTTTCTCGAGATATTCAAAAGACATCAGAAATCGCAAAAAATGGCAAAAATCTTACGAGCAAAGCTACCAGCATATTTCAAGAAAATTCTAATAAAATTAATAAAGATACAAGATTGAGGGTCCCTCAAAATAAAATCAGTAAAATTCCACGCATAAAACCACCGATAAAACCGAATTTCTTTTTATCTACACATGGAGAATCTCCTGTTTATCCAGTATAGTTATATATTTATTTGTCTGAAGAGATTAATGTGTTTTAGTACATTGAAAAAAATATTTGGTTGAATTAACTGAAATTCTGATTAAAAACGAACGAGTTAGAATTTTCTCTTTAAATCAACTAAATTCTAATTGTGATAATTGGTATTCACATTGATAAAATCAGAATCTACCTTCAGACATTTTGTCTACCTTCAGATATTTTTCTCAGTGATATCTTTAATTAATTTTAATTAACAGAGTGAAAAATTATCATTAAAAAATGAATTAAAATATTTCACGGAATTTGTCGCAGACAATAAAGAAGAAAAGATATTTGAGTACGTGAGTAAAATAGAAAGATAATTTCTATTTAGAAGATAACGGCATTGACAAATAAATTTATGTTTATTTTTATATTAAGAAATATAATTAAACTTTCTTAGTTATATTTATTAGTTTTTGGAATAATTATTCATTTTTTATATTTTTGTTCTATTTATTTTATTTTTTCTACTTATTTTTATTCTATTGACTATTTTACTATTTAATATACAATATAATAATTAAATAATAAAAAAACAGCTTGCTCTCTCTTGTATAATTAAAAATATAATTAAATAATTCGTATTAAATATATATATAACTTTATCAAATTGGAAAATAGTTCAAAGAGGGAAACTTTATACGCACTGGATTATAAAAAAACCAAACACATTTTGCCAATTGTTAATGAAAACTTGTAAGTTGAATTTAAATAAAAAATGAATGTATATTGTATATATAATTTATAATTTCACGTTTTTATGTTGAAAAACGCTATCAAAAAGTGAAATTTTTTGCTTAGAAATGTTTGGTGTCCCGAGAAAAGTTCAGAGATGGATGCTGATGAAGAATTCGAGGGAGATCTTTTGACTCCGATAAAAGAATCGCCGGTCATTACAGGCGATGATCCGCGTTCCGCCACATTATTAAAAAGCATGGCTCTAAAATGCGAATGCCGATCATGCAATGATCATAAATATGCTTCTACTGTTCATACTGATCAACATACCGAGTCCGAATCCTGGAGCTCTCCCGAGATAGAGAGCACACGAAAATGGTAGAAAAAGATCATTTATTTAAAAAAATGCAAAAAACTTTCGATTTTTATATTATGTTTAAACAATTACATCTGTATGCTGTAATTTCTATAGGAAATCAATGAGACATCGTAAATTCATCGATGCGAGTTCCGAAGATTTGGACTTGTTACCGAATTATAACATTAATTATAACAAGACAAATAGAAAGAATAATGGATCGAATTTTGCGGGCCATATTACGAAACAACCTTCGGTAGTTAATCACACAAAAATGAAAACTTATCGGAAGACCAGTTTCTCGTTTTTTAATGTCTTCTTCGATATTGTTTTTTGGCCTTTCGTTTTCCTTCGCGCAAAACAATGACTCGTTACCATGTATAGAATTATAAATCCTGTTACTTAGCTTGTTGGTACTTTGATGCATTGTACGTAATATTATGATAATGATAACATAAACGAAAATGAAAAACATCCTTGAAATTTATAGAAACATGTGGATTTAATGTATTATAAATCATTTCTAACATAACGCGTTTATTATTATAAAGATTGTTTATTTCTTTTCAATTTTTAATAAAATCAAATAATTAAAAATAATAAAAATGATGCGTATAATACATTATACGGACACGTCGTATAATAATTGATTATTGCAAAATTATTATACTCGTTAGTTACAATAGCAGTCAACATATTGCTTCATGAATCTTCTAAGAAAGTATTTGTATAAGACTACTTTCTGCCATTAATTTTCTACATATTTTGTTCTATAGGGATTTCTATTATTAATTTTCCAAGTTTCATTCAGCATCTTCAAATTAATTAAAGAAAGTATTTCTTTGCTTTTGTATCTCAATTATAGTCGCACGAAAAAGCTTTTATCACGTATAAAAGCAGCATAACGATAATGTAAGGATGTCGTTATAATTGTTAAAAGTTACAGAATAGAGAGATTTTTATAATGTTGCGTTATAGTATTAAACAATCCTGCCGATAAAGGCAATCATATATTTATGGGAAAATCATAAAAAAGACTATCGTTACATGTTTTGGGGTCCGTTTTGTCAGATTAATATTTGCTTATCTTACGAAAAAGTTAATTACGACAAAATTGTAAAGTATTATAAAAAACTACTATATTATATGATAGAAGACTCTAATTTGTATTTATGTTTCCAAAGTTTTATTTTTAAAAACAAATACAAATTACTTTTGTTTAAGTAATATTGCCCAAAAATAAAATAGTATGATGACATTGGCGATCTTTCACTACATAAAAATATTACAAAAGTAATATCACCTTAAGAATCTATGAATTTCGATTTGCGAATTCGTTGTAATTTTATATATAGCACAACTGCGTTTAGAATTACGATAAAAAGTGTTCTCAATGTATAAGAGAAGATTATATAAAATCTATTGTTGTTCATGCATACTTTCCTTTCGCTTTTGCCATTGCTTCAACAGCTGTTTCCTCCATACTATCTAGGATTTGATTAGTTGCTGTGTTTAAATCATCTACCATGATTACTTTGAAACGTCGTCCAACATGAACTACATCCGACAATAGTACCGAATTCGTCAAGTTGTTCGAAGGTGGTGCGTACATTAACGATCGACGACGTCTGCCTGGTTCGATTTGCTAAAATAAATTTTAAATGTATAAATTAAAAAATGCAAAAAAATTCTATTATTATTTATATTGTATAATAAAAAATTTGAAGATATTTAGAACAATTTATTTTAAAATAGTTTATATACTCTTGTATAAGAATTTGTTGACTTGTAAACAATTGATGTCTGTCATACAAATATTAATTTGAGCGGAATTTTAGACATGTAGTTTTAACAAATATTGCATATATATATATATCCAGTTCTCTGAAAAGTTCTTTTTTTGGAAAGAGTAAATATTTTATATTTATATATTATCCATTTTTTTCGTTCCATATTCTATAAATTTGCTTTTATCTTTTTATAAAATTTGCAATTTGCAATGCCATGCCTAAATATACTAAGCCATCCCATTATCCATAAAACTTCACCATTTTAATTCCATTATGCTAGGGACATCTTTAGGACATAGAACATTCTCTAGATCTCTCATCCCTTGGAAAAATGCGTTGTCTAAGTAATCATATCTAAATATTTTATTGACTTTTGTAACTTACTTGATTTGCTTCCGGACAAGGTTCACAATTAGTTTTACATAATTCAACATTACATTCGATGAGTAGACCCAAAACATCGGGGAATTTGAAGGCTCGGAAGAATGCGTAAGCAATAATAAAAGCGCCTGTATTGGCGGTATCCTTTGTCTTTTGAAAGGCACCAAACAGTTTCGGTTTCAAAGTGCAGCCTCTTTCGTCGGTGAGCTGCAGCATGTTGGTCGAAATTTCATCCCGCGCCGAACAGTTGCGTACCTTAAAAATAATTATAAATGTATATGTGTTTGTTTAATTTATATTATTCAAAAAAATCTAGAGTATGTATATATAATTATATAAAATATACAATAAACAATACAAATATAAATGTAAAATTTATATTATGTTACAAATACAGATAAAATATGTTAATTATTAGCAACTTTTTTGGATGTATATAAAATAATTACATACATATGTTAATGCTATTTATTATTTAATAATATTGAAATATACATAAATTATTATTATACTTGTTTATAATTATTTCTGACAAATACCTGAAGATCGAAATCTGGATCGCCTTCCACAGATATTACCAAAGTCATTGTTTCTCCAATTTTTATAAGTCCATTAGCTGTAGGTGCAAAAGGTCCTCTGCCAATTTGAATATCCAGTTTTGTTATCACAGTATCACCATTAAAGGTAATGATTTCCTGGTTTAACATATCTACTGAAAGATTCATCCTTAGAGTTTGATTGATGTTTCCTTCCCAGAGGCATTGTACTCTTCGAACTGTGTCCCAGACTTCTTGTATACTCGGTTCATTCTTAAGCAATAAGAATTTTTTATTTTAATATTTGACATAATTATTAGCAATATTTTTGCAAAATAATAAAAGAAATCTCAAAAGTATTCATTGAATTTTTCGATGACAATTTTTTTGGTGATTTTTGAGGCAAAAAAAATATACGCGTCGCGGCGTTTATCAACATATGTTTTGTTTTTAAGATATACATTTTAAAAAATTCGAAACGGGTTTGCATTCATGTTTATTTAATAAGCTAGCATGTCAACATGAACACAATTAAATGTAAAATATAAAGAGGATATAACGTGCTAACTTATTGCTCTATTCGTGATTTTATTACTCTAACCGTTTAGCAATAAATCAGTTTTATGGCAGTCTAACTTTTAAAAAAATTAGACTGCCTTAAAAATAATAACGATAATAATAAAAAACGCTTATACTATAATTTATTAATTATGTGCCTTTAATATTCTAGTTTAAATTTCGGTGTGCTATCCCTAACGCTTAAAACAATTCCAAAACATTTGTGTCATACAAAAGAAAATTACTAAATTAGCACATAAGTAGCACTAAATTATAATGTAAATGTTTTTCTTATATTTTTATTACTTTTGGTATTCGATACTAACTTGTAATACGAGAACGTTTTCCAAATATGCTTGACCAGTAGGACCTACGAAATCGTTAAAGAATTGAGTACCGCAAGAGTCTAGATTTACAGTGAAAGAGTACCGTGCTGAGCCAGAATTCTGTTTTACGTAGATACATTTTGGGTTTGAATAATATCCCTGAAATTGGATATTGATATGTTATTATTAATTTTTGGTGCAATAGATTTGTGATTTCGCGCTTACCTTAGTATAAATAATGCCATCAAAAACACGATTAAATTCAATATTGATCGTCATCATTGTCTTATTGCATTCGACATTAATGCTATGAATATGGGGAGGATGATTGAAATCATCATCAGTTTGAGTCTCTGTGAGTGATAAAATTATAAATTACCTTTTCGTATATTTTATATATCATATTATATGTGTGGTAAGAAATATATACCTCCATTTTGAATAGTAGGAGAGAATGCTCTGGTAATTATCGAAGATCGAATTGAAGGTCCTAAGAAATCTGTTATTTATCATTTTTTATAGTAAAAAACCAAATATTAAATAAAGATAAAATATAATTAAAAAATGTATATGGATTAGAGTTATTCGTTTGAAACAATTCTTCTTCTATCATAATTGTATGAAAATTTGTACCTAATAATTTAAATAAAATATTGACGAACTAGTTTGGCTGTATCTTAGTTTCAACATCAATAATCTCTGGATAATAAAATTATACATTTTTTCATATATTATGTTTTGATTGTAAATATAGAAATGTACCAATACCAGTACTTGAAATACTTTTGGTTTCAGGAATTCTTGCGGATCCTGAGACTCTTAAAGGTCTTGAGGGTTTCAATAATTCTGAGAGTTCTGATGATCCAGACGGTCCTGAAAGTTGTGAAAGTTTTTTCGAAGATCTTGAAAATTCTGAAGCTTGTAAGGATCTTCCTGAGTTTTTTTCCGAAAACTGGTTTGATGTTGACGAACCAAACAGGATTTTCTACATATGATAATTTAATTGATTATATTGCATGTATGGCATGGAGATTAAGCGCAGTATTATATGTGTGTATATTTATATATTTAATACAATACTTACAGGCTCTGCAATCAATTTCGCGTTAGGGATATGATAGGAATAACCCAACAAAATGTCTTCGTTTACACCTGTATATCCAGCTAATTGCTTGCTAGTCCTGGACGCGGAATGAA